CAGCTCAGGTCATGATCCTGGAGTCCCAGGATCGAGTCCCGCATCGGGCTCCCTGCTCAGCAGGGAGTCTGCTTCTCCCTCCGACCCTCTTCCCTCTCGTGCTCTCTATCTCTCATTCTCTCTCTCAAATAAATAAATAAAATCTTTAAAAAAAAAGAATTTAGTGATTAATCAGTTGCATATAACACCCAGTTCTCATTACATCAAATGCCCTCCTTAATGGTCATCACCCAATTACCCCTTCACCCACCCACCTCCCCTCCAACAACCCCGTTTATTTCCTAGAGCTAAGAGTCTCTTATGGTTTGCCTCCCTCTCTGATTTTATCTTATTTTATTTTTCCTTCCCTTCCCCTATGTTCATCTGTTTTGTTTCTTAAATTCCATATATGAGTGAAATAATATGGTATTTGTCTTTCTCTGACATTTCGCTGAGCATAATACCCTTTAGTTCCATCCACATTGCTGCAAATGGCAAGATTTCATTCTTTTTGATGGCTGAGTAATATTCCACTATATATACCACATCTTTATCCATTCATCTGTTGATGGACATCTGGGTTCTTTCCATATTTTGGCTATTGTGGACATTGCTGCTATAAACTTTGGGGTGCATGTGCCCCTTCGAATCACTTTGTATCCTTTGGATAAATACCTAATAGTACACTTGATGGGTCGTAGGGTAGCTCTATTTTTAACTTTTTGAGGAACCTCCATACTGTTTTCCAGAGTGGCTGTACCAGTTTACATTCCCACCAGTAGTGTAAGAGGGTTCCCCTTTCTCTGCATCCTCACCAACATCTGTTGTTACCTGAGTTGTTAATTTTAGCCATTCTGACCGGTATGAGGTGGCAGCTCATTGTGGTTTTGATTTGTTTTTCCCTGATGATGAGTGGTAGTGAGCATTTTTTCATGTGTCTGTTGGCCATTTGTATGTTTTCTTTGGAGAAATGTCTGTGCTTGTCTTCTGCCCATTCTTTAACTGGATTTCTTGTTTTTTGGGTGTTGAGTTTAATAAGCTCTTTATAGATTTTGGATACTAGCCCTTAATCTGATAAGACATTTGCAAATATCTTCTCCCATGCCATAGGTTGCCTTTTAGTATTTTTGGCTATTTTACAAAAATAAATTTTAAAAGTTCTATTTTTGTTCCAAAAGCTGTATATGGTTGAATAATTTAATCGCACTGAAAATGTATAGCTCCAGCAATAAAAATGAGAATAATATAAATTCCTTTGTGTACTTTATATGGTTGTTCTGAGAGTTAATATGTTAAAGTGTTCAGTAAATGAAAACTATGAGCTAATATTGTTATCAATATTACTATACATTGATATACTCCTAAATATAGCCAATATTTTATCAGAAATGAATGTTCAATGAGGATTACTTGCTGTATATATTTGAGTGTCAATTAGAATTTTCTAAGTGTTTTTAGATTAGGCTATCACTTATTTCACATTAGTTGCCACTAGATAAACTGTGCAGAAGACTTCAGTTTAATTCACTTGAATGCTTTTTGATTGTCTATGTTTTAAAATATAGTGTATTAACAGAAAATTTGAGATATAGTAAGGTTGACAGATCTGGAAATGATTGGCATTGAAAAGACAGCTTATTGCTCCCTGTTCCCAAGAGGAGGGGACACACCATGCCATGGTGGGCCACACATGGAAACACTGGGGCTGGTCAGAGGGGAAGAAGGGGAAACTGAGCAAGAGGCTTTATTGTGGCTTCTGAGGAAGGAAGAGGTGAGGCAGGGTAAACTGGCTCAGAATTGATTAATCTGAGTAATTTCAGCAGGCTCTGGGGCACAGGTACTGTCCGTAGTGGTTTGGTACCTGGTCCTGAAATTATTAGGATAAGGGGATAGAGGTCTACAGTGTGAGAACCCAATAAATGAGGTGCTGTCCTGTGGGCTCTGTATTGGTTGGTTCTTTTGAAAATCATGTTTTGAAAAGCACGTTTATGGGTGAGTTGTTTAATATCTCTAGCAACTGGCTAACTACAGCAGTTTAGTCCTTCCAGGGAAAGCAAGGCCCCAGATGTCAGGGTATCAGAACACAAAATAAAAGACATGGTTAATACAGTCTAATGTTGAATAATCATTCCATTTCTGGAATAAAACTTACTTGCTCCTGGTACATAAGGAGAAGTAACATTCAACAAACACTTTTTGAAGGCTTACTATGTACTAAACTATGTGTTGGACCCAAGAGACTCAAAATTCAATTCAACTTAATCATTGCCTACCATCAAGGCAGATGTGAAATTATTTGACACAGTACCTGGTCCATAGTAAGCATGTAATACAAGTTAGTTTCTCTGTTTTTTTTTCTTCAAATTAACCACTGGTTGAGCTGATGACCTCCCATCATTATTTACAAGTAAGAATTTCAAATCAGTCAGTAAACATTGACTGTTCCAAAAACTGGCATTAATATAGGACCACAACATCCAAGTGAAGGCGTTATCTTTAGCCTTGATTTTTTTACTTTCTTATTTTAATGTCAATTTTTACAGTTTTACTGAAATATAATTGACATATAATATTGTGTAAGTTTAAGGTATACAACTGTATTGATTTGATACACTTACATATATTGGAATGATCACTCCATAGAATTAGCTAACGGCTCCATCATGTCACATAATTGCCATTTCTTTGTTACGGTGGGAACATTCAAAATCTACTCTTAGTAACTTTCAAGTATATGATACAGTTTATCAACTATATTCAACATCCTATATATTAATTTTCCAGAACGTATTCATCTTATAACCAGAAGTTTGTACACTTTGACCAATTCTACCCATTTCTCCCATCCCCTTGTAACCACCACACTATTATCTGTTTCTATGAGTTTGGCTTTTTTTAGATGCAATATGTAAGCAATATCATATAGTATTTGTCTTTTTCTGTCTGATTTATTTCACTTAGCATATTGCCTTCAAGGTCCATCCGTATGGTTGCAAATGGCAAAATTTCCTTCTTTCTTATGGCTAAACGATATTCCATTGTCTGTACATACCCATCTTCTCTATCCATTCATCCATTGACAGACACCTAGATTGTTTCCATATCCTGGCTGTTGTGAATAAGGCTGCAATGAACATGGGAGTACAGATATCTCTTTGATATGTTTTTCTTTCTTTTGGATATATACCCAGAAGTGGGATTGCTCGGTTACATGGTAGCTCTATTTAAATTTTTTAGGAACCTCCATATTGTTTTCCAAGTAACAGCACCAATTTACTTTCTCGCCAACAGTGCACAAGTGTTCCCTATTCTTTACATCCTTGCCAAGACTTATTTCTTGTCTTTTTGGCACTAGCCATCCTGATTCGTGTGAGATGAGATCTCATTGTGGTTTTGATTTGCATTTCCCTGATGATTAGTGATGTTGAACATCTTTTCATGTGTCTGTTGGCCATCTGTATGTCTTCTTTTTTTTTTAAGATTTTATTTATTTTTATTTGAGAGATAGAGAATGAGAGATAGCACGAGAGGGAAGAGGGTCAGAGGGAGAAGCAGACTCCCTGCTGAGCAGGGAGCCCGATGCGGGACTCGATCCCAGGACTCCAGGATCATGACCTGAGCCAAAGGCAGTCGCTTAACCAACTGAGCCACCCAGGCGCCCCATCTGTATGTCTTCTTTGGAAAAGTGTCTGTTCAGTTCCTCTATCCATTTTTAAATTAGAATTTTGTTTGTTTGTTTTTGTTTTTGTTTGTTTTTTGCTAGTGAGTTGTACGAGTTCTTTATATATTTGGATATCAACCCTTTATCAGAATATGATTTGAGAATATATTCCATGAGTTGCCTTTTAATTTTGTTGGTGGTTTCCTTAACTATGCACAAGATTTTTAGTTTGATGCAGTCCCACTTACTAATTTTTGCTTTTGTTGTTTGTGTTTTTGGTGTCATACCCAAAAAAATTGTTTCCAAGATCGATGTCAAGGATTTTCCCCCCTATATTTTCTTATAGTTTTACCATTCTTATTTTTATGTCTTTAATCCTCTTCGAGTTAATTTTTTGTGGAGTGATCTTAAGAAGTCCAATTTCATTCTTCTACCTGTGGTTATCCAGTTTAACCATCACCATTTATGGAAGAGAGTATTGAGTATTAGTTGATTGTATTTGTGAGGGTTTATTTTTGGGCTCTGGATTCTATTCCATGGGTCTATCTCTATTTTTATGGCAGTACCACATCATTTTGATTACTGGAGCTTTGTAGTGTAATTT